TTTTAGGTTTTTATTTTTCTGCAGTACTATAGATTGAACTCAGGGCCTCACGCGTGCTAAGCAAAGTGCTGTACCCCTGAGCTACATCACCAGTCCTTTATTTTATTTTGAGACAGTCTGACTACATGTCACCCAGGTTGGCCTCAAACTTCACTCATCCTTCCTCTGCCTCCAAAGTAGCCATTGGGCCTGGCTCAAACTTTTTCTTTTGGTACCGGAGATCGAACTCGGGACCTTGTGCTTGAGAGGCAGGCCGCAAAACCACCGAGCTAAAGCCCCAGCCCTGGCTCAGACTTTAATTAAGGACAAACAAAAAGTCTGAAAAGGTAGAACAGAAAGAGAGAAATATTAGTAAGTTGTGTCTGAAAACTGCTTCTTGATTTAAGTAAGACCAAAAGCAGTTGGAGTTCTTCCTGTCCATACTTCTCATGCAGAACCTTTTCAGTTAACTGTGAATCTCCTTTCAGTTATAGAATTATAAAATTAAGAAGTGAGTTGAGGAAAAAAAAAAAAAGAAAACAAAAGAAGTGAGTTGAGAAATGCTCCAAACTAAAATGAAATTCCATTACATTGTTCACAAACTCAGGCATACATAGAACGTTAACATTGCTAATTAGATTTATCTACTAGCTGTGCAGGGAAGAAAATACATTTCATATCAGAAAGGAAAGCCATGCTTGCCTGTGCAGAACAGTCTGTCATTGTTATTGATCCCCTTGAGTCACGCACACTCTTACCTCATGTGCCCTTTATGTCCTGCCTCTAAGGAGAATACAAGTTGTCCTTCTTACCAGACAGTCCCTCTTCAGCCTCTGTGGCCTAGGTTGTCCTGGCCTGTTTGTCTCTCAGCTCCTGAAGTGTCAGAGGAGCTTACGTGTGGCCCTTGACCTTGAGTAGTGTCCCAGCCTCAGTCTGGTCATGGAATTCCTATTTAGGATAAAAGGAAAAGAATTGTAATCTCAGAGTGATTACCTTGTATTAAAAATGAGTGTCTAGCTGGGCGTGGTGGCACATGCCTTATAGTCCCAGCACTCAGAGGCTGAGGCAGGAGGATTGCCACAAGTTTGAGGCCAGCCTAGGCTACATAGTGAGTTCAAGACCAGCCAAGACTACATGGCAAGAGCCTGTCTTAAAAAAAAAACAACTAATCTATTTGCTTTTTTTTTGGTACCAGGGATCAAACTTGGGACCTTGTACTTGCGAGGCAGGTGGCAGAACCACTGAGCTAAATCCCTGGCCCCTCTTTGCTTTTTGTTTTATGTATTTTGGTACTGGGGGTCGAACTCAGGACCTTGCTCTTTCGAGGCAGGCTCTATTTGCTGAAGGAAGTCACAGAGTAGCAGGTTAACAAACTGATTATTACAAACACTGCTGGCACATGACAGTGTTACAGTCCTGTTGTGTGCCTGGGCATATGGAACACACAAAAGAATGAGCAGAAAAGCTTATTTGTTTCCAGAAGCTATTGTTGGAGAATTGACTCCACACTTGATTACTGCTCTTTAAAAATATTCTTCTGGGGGCCGGGGATTTAGCTCAGTGGTTTCGCCACCTGCTACGCAAGCGAGAGGACCCGAGTTTGATCCCCGGTACCAAAAAAAAAAAAAAAAATTCCTCCGCCTGAGGCCCTAATCCAACATCACTTGTAGAACAGCTCTAGCGCATCATCTGGGACTTTCACCTGGACCAAGGTAGTTCAGGAATTTGACAATAGAATATGTTGTTACTTTGAGGCTCGTTCTCTTTAAATTATTCCTCTTCACCAAAAGTGAATAGGGGCTGGAAGCTTTCTTCCTAAGTGTGTTCTTGTCTCTTTGGCCAGGTTTTCCAAGTCTGAACTCTGCTCTTTGGTATCCAGCACAGAGAGAACTCAGTCAGTACCTGGATAGGTTAGATGAATAGCTGAACAGACAGATGGACAGATGTGTGAATTGATGGATGGAAGGATGGATGGATGGGAGGGATGGATGGAGTTATAACAGGTAGTGGAGGGATCGAACAGATGAGAAGATGGATGGATAAGTGGCTGAGTAAGTGGACAGATGTGTATATGGATGAAATGGATGTATGGGTAGGGAAATGCACAGATGGACAGATGAGTAAATGGACAGATAAGCAAATGAATGGATAGGTGGATAAGTTGATGGGTGGATGAATACATAAATGAGAAGGATGGGTATACAAGAGAGTGGATGGCTGGATGGATAAATGGATAGATGAGTGGGTAGGTAAATAGTTGGAAAGATGAGTGCATGAAGAGATGGACAAGTAGATGAATGAATGGAGGGATGGAGTTGTAGCTGCCATGGCATGAGAAATCTTTGCACTTCCTATGTCCCATGCCTGTACCCAGCTCATGTCTCCCTTATGGCATTCATTGTTTGTTTGCTTAAAGCCCTTAAAGGTTTTGAAGGCAGTGATGAAATCCACTGTGTATGATATTAAGACTCTATAATGCTGAAATTAGGGCTGTATTCTTTTGCAGAGGAGAAGTAGCAGTTTTGGTGCAGTCCTTTCCACCTGTCTGAGGCTGCTAGAGTTGGCTGTCTTCTGTAGATATGTATGGTTGAGCTGCTTTTTCAGTTAGAAGCCAACAGAGAGAGGCCCTGGTGTGTTTGTAGGGTTTGAAGTCATATTTTGCATTTTAATCTCCAATTTTAAGCAGTATTTTCTTAGAATAAAATTTTTTAAATTAGAAAATTTTTTTTTTTGGTACTGGGCATCAAGCTCAGGGCCTTGCACTTGTGAAGCAGGCAGTAGAACCACTGAGCTAAATCCCCGGCCCTAGAGAATGTTTCATAAATACATTTTCTTAAGATTTTCAGACAGTGCAAACTCATCCCATTGCCCTTGCCAAAAAAATTCATGTGTATCCTAATGAATCTTTTTCTTAGGAAATTTACATTTTTTTGTTCATTTGTTTTGTTTTGTACTGGGAATTGAACTCAGGACCTTACACTTGCAAGGTAGTCGGCTGCACCACTGAGCTAAATTCCCGGCCCTGGAAAATTACATTTATAGATTGCATGGTTTCTCTTATATGAGCAACTCAAAATATAAATAATTTAAACAGCAAAATAAAAGATAGATGATAGGAAACAGGTATGTAGACTTTTCTGAGCTTTCTGAGATGGGAAGGGAATCTAAGGATGGAAGGAAAGGGGAAGAAGGAAAAGTAAAAAGAATTGAAATGCAGTGTGTGAGCCAGACATGACAGTGCATGCCTGTAACTCCAGCACTCAGGACGCTGAGGCAGGAGGATCGCTGTGAGTTCTAGGCCATCCTGAGCTACATAGTGAGTTCAGACCATCCTGAACGATGTAAGGAGACCCTGCCCTCCTCATGCAATATTGCATATGTACCATTTCCGCACGAATGTATTCATTACATATGACAAACATGTAGTATAATAATAAAGAAGTTTACATTTAGAAACATACAGATAAAAATGTAAAACTGTAGAGATGTAATATGAAATTTTTTCATGTCTTTAGAATCACAGTGCCAGTATATGTGCTATCAGTTTTTTAACAAGAGTTCTTACAGAAGTTGAACAAGTACAGAAGCAGCTGCCTTAACAGACTTGGTCACAACTGGGAATGGGTCAGTGAAAAAAGTTGGCCAAAGCAGAAAGTTATAATAGATATACACATTGAATATTTTATAATGTTCAATTACAGACCCACATTACTCCACCACCCCTGGGCAGCTAGAGCCAAAGCATTTTCTTCTGTGGAGATCCATACCTCGGCGTTTCATGTTGTTCTCAGGTCAGAAACTCCAGTCAAGGGTAAATCCACTTTTGCTGCTCAGTTTTAAAATGAGCAGGACAGGGCCCAGAACAAGACTTCAGAGTCTGATCAGGCTCAGTCTTACCTGTCTTTCCCATACCTCATTTGGCTGTTACTATTAAAAAGACCTTGTGGGTTGGGGATTTAGCTCAGTGGTGCTACCACCTGCCTCACAAGTGCAAGGTCCTGAGTTCAATCCCCGGTTACACCTCCCTTCCCCCAAAAAAGACCTTTGTTTGTTCGTTTGTTTTGAGACAAGAGTCTCCCTTTGTAGTTTAGGCTGGCTTTGAACTCACTAGGAAGGCTGGCCTCAAACTTGCAGTACTGCCCCGGAGTCCGAGTGCTGGGATTACAGACATGCACCATCACATCTGAAAACACCTACCTTTGTTGAGTCTCTCATGGCCTCTTTGTTGAGCATTTCAAAAGCATTTCAGCTATGTTTTTTAGAAGGAACCATTATAATTGCTTTCATATTCATTTCAATAGTCATATAGTAATTCATGTAATTCTAATCCACTGCACCTTGGGCAGACAGATTTGGGGCAGCCTGAGGACCCCAAGCATGACCCTGTAACATCCCACTCTGGCCACTACTCTGTCTTTGCCAGAGGAATAGTGTACAACGTTGACATGGCAAGGTGGTCATGAAGCGATCACATAGAATGGCCAGGGATTTAGCTCAGTGGTGCCACACCTGCCTGGCAAGCACAAAGTCCTGAGTTCGATTCCTGGTACCAGAAAAGAAAAAGAGAGATCACATAGAGGTTACGTAGAGGTAGAATGAGAACCCACATAGAGGTCACATAGTGGTAACTTGATAGCTTCTGTTCTGAGGTCCCAGGTAGGAGAAGTGCATGGAAAAATGGAGCAGGTGGAAAGAAGGGCAGCTGTCTGCCTAGCTCTAGAGTGGTAGGTAGGTAAAGGGTTGGGACAACAGCTTGTGCCACATAACTTAATGAGGTGAGAGGAGATGATGCATTTTCTATAAACAGCAGTCATCCTCTGGTTGGGAAAGTATCGGACATCTAGAGGCATAGTGTTGCCTACCATCCCGGGTGGCTATATGGGGACAGTGTGGAAACTTGCTTAGGGCTTGCACTCTCCTGGGCCTCTCTTCCTCGCGCTTGATGTGTCTTGGACACACTGGGCCTTCCTCACTTCCATTCATTCAGAGACCTCAGCATCTTTTCCAAACTTTTTTCCCAGGGCTACCACAGTACGTTACAAAGGGAGAAACCTGCGGATCAAAGCACCCATGTGTCGGGCCCTAAAGAAGCTCTGTGATCCTGATGGTAGGTAACCAAGGGAAAGGCTGTCATGGCTTGTAGCTCACACAGTGGTTTTGTCCCATTTCATGGTGGACAGGCTGAGCTGTTGCAGCTGCTCTCTGCCTAGCCATGCTTTATCCCAATTCTGTGAAAGGACAGTTGTTGAATTTGAAGGCTCATGTCCATTCAGCAAGTCAAGTTTAGCTCAGAAGCCATGGCAGCATTCTGATAGATGGTCAGCACTGTGGAAATGGGTCTCATGGCCTCTCTGGCTGGTCCATGGCTCTGTTTTGGCAGATGTGCAAGTGACCATGTTGAGTGTCTCCCTGGTTGTGGGTTCTCTGATTTCCTGTGTCTAGTCACAAGACAGCCTGCCTACACCTCTTTCATCCTGTTGGTTTTCAATGAAGTACTTTGCTTTCTGCCTCAAGCTTAATCTGTGCTAGACTTTCATGGTCTCTACTTTTGTAGGCTTGAGTGATGAAGAGGACCAGAAACCAGTGCGCCTGCCCTTGAAAGTCCCTGTAGAGCTACAGCCACGGAACAACCATGCCTGGGCCCGAGTGCAGAGCCTTGCCCAGAACCCCCGCCTCAGGTGATGCAGTCTTCTAGGGAAGGGGGTGGGGAAGGTTGACACAGGCCCTGCACTATTTGTATTTTCATTTTCCTGAGAGAATTTCTGGTAAGAAGCCAGTCTTAGCCCAGTCCTCTGACATCACCTGAGGACAGGGTCTCCTTTTGCATTTTGTTTTGTTTTTGTTGTTTTTTGAGATGGTCTTACTATGTAGTTCAGGCTGGCCTTGAACTCACTATGTAGCCCAGGCTGGGCTTGAACTCTCAGTGATTCTCCTGCCTCAGCCTCCTGATTACTAGGATTATAGGTGTGCACCGTGCCTAGCAAGAACAAGGTCTGAAGATGGCACTGTCATAGGGGTGATCAAAGCACCTGCGGGGTCTTGAGACACTGAGCTGCAGCTCTACCCCTAAGCAGGGGTCTTGGATGGTAGATGGGGGCTGTAAGATGATCTCACGATGAGAAGGTTGAGTGGCTACATGGCCCCCATGATCCCTAGCATTCCTCTCTCTCCAGCTCTCCAAAGATTTGTGTCTAATTTATGCATGAGGCACTACCACCATTTTCCATTTATATATTTTTTATTCTACTGGGTTTTTTGTTTTGCTTTGTGTTTGGTACCGGAGATTGAACTCCTCGGGTCCTTGTACTTGCGAGGCAGGCAGCGGAACCACTGAGCTAAATCCCCGGCCCTACACTTTTTAAATTGAGAAAAAATTTACCATAAAATGAACCATAGTCACTTGAAAATGTACACAGTTCAGCAGCGTTTGGTGCATTCATAATGTTGTGAAACCTCCACCTCTATCTATTTTACACCGTGTATTAGCAATCACTCCCCGATGCTCACCTCTCCCTAGGCCCAGTCTACTTTCTGTCTTGGTGGATTTGCCTTTTCTAGGCATTCCATATTAACGGAATCACACACAGCATAAGACACTAAGAGAATAGGTAGTGGTGGAACCAACATTCACATCCTGGCTGAGTTCTCATGCTGGTGAAGGGTACATGGGTCTTTCCATGTTACTTTTTTTTTTTTTAAAGACAGGGTGTAATTATATAGTTCAAGCCGGCCCTGGACTCACTAACTCAGACTGGCCTCAAACTCAGTAGTCCTCTTGCTTCAGCCTCTCAGGTGCTGAGATTACAGGCATATGCCACCACGCCTTGCCCTCTCTGTGGTATTTCTGATAGCTTCATGTGAATATATTGTGATTTTAACAGACAGAGCTGTTTTTTAGGAAAAGCAGCTGAGGTCCTGCTGATGGCCCTTCCCTGCTGCCCATTCTGAGGCCCTACTTCTCTTTGCCACGTGTTCTTGGTGTGGGCAGCCATGGCTGATCGTCTCAGGGCTCCTACCCCTTTTTAATAGCCTCCTCTCTGTCACTCCATAGGATGATTGTGGAGCTGCATAGAAAGGTCTCCAGCCTCATCGAGTTCTTGAAGCAGAAGTGGGCACTCCATGAAGTGCGAATTGTATCTTTTTCTGACTAAAGGAAACCTTCCAAACTCTGTGGCTGCTCCTTCTTGAGAATAGAGTCTTGCTTTTGGGACCCTGTCATTGCTATAGAGTCCTGTGGGAGCCCTTCGCCCCTAGATTTTGGTGTGGAGTGCCACCTCTGACCTTGCAGTGGTAAAACTCAGCCATAGGCAGCTCTTCATAACCTATGGGGTGTGGCCAGATCACCCTGCCAGCAGATTGTGTGACCCAGGCGTAGCCCAGACACCTTTGTTTTCTTGACTGGCTGTTGGGCTGGCATTGTTATGGTGGTGGCTTAAGGAAAGTCCCTAGGTCAGGAATCAGGGCACATCTGAGTTCCAGTGATACCAAGAGGTAGGTATGTATCCTATTGAGGGCTCCACCGTATGGAACGGGTCTACAGCCTGACCAGGATACAGATGGTGGGGATTGTTCCTTGATAGTGCACCCAGCGGAAGACCCTTGAAGAGGGGCAGCTGCAGGGTACGAACTCTGCACAGATGCAGGAGAAGGTGACACTGCATCTATTCCCAGGCGAGAACTGCACACTGACTCCGCTGCCTGGTGTGGCCCGTGTGGTTCACTCCAAGGCCTTCTGCACAGTGCACTGGCAGGAGGGTGGCCGCTGCAAACAGAGTGCCAAGGACACCCATTCGCTGCCCCCAGCCCAAATCCTGGGTATCCAGAGTGGGCAGGGCACGGCCCGGGGCCAGGTGAAGTGCCCAAGGGGCAGCACTGAGGGCAAGGGTGGGGGGCGGCCCCCTCCCACCACCGACACATCGCAGAGCTCTGGAGAGAGTTCCCCGGAGAGTGCCCCTAGTCTGAGCAGCCCGGATGCTCCCGACAGGCCTCTCCCAGGGCACCAGGACTCCCTGCTGCATCTTGAGAAGACCCCTGCAGCGCCTCCTACAGAGGGTGGGGATGGTCCTGCTCGAGAACCAGGGTCCCTGCTGTGTGCCTGCGGCCAGCTCCCAGACCTGGAGGACGAGCTGTCACTCCTCGACCCCTTACCCCGTTACCTGAAGTCCTGTCAGGACCTCATCGTCCCTGAGCAGTGCCGCTGTTTGGATGCTCGGCCTAGGAGTGAGCAGCCTCCTCCGGGCAGGGCCACCTCCCCAGAGACTCTTGCCTCCAGTGGCAAGGAGGCTGCCAACCTTGCTGCCTCGGGCCCAGACCTTCAGACTGGCCCTGGCCCCAGACTCCTACTGGATGTTTGCACTAAAGAGCCAGCAGATACACCTTCAGAGGAGCCCCAGGAGAAAGGGAGCCCCTTAGAGCCTCTGCCACCTCAGGGACAGTGTACTTCCAGGCCCCCAAAGGAGGTCCCTGCCAGCCAGTTGGCTCAGCAGCTACGTGAGGAGGGCTGGAGCCTGCAGACCTCTGAAAGCCTTACGCTGGCCGAAGTCTACCTCATGATGGGCAAGCCAAGCAAGCTGCAGCTCGAGTACGACTGGCTGGCTGTGTTGGGCCCTGCGGGCCAGGGCCCTGGAGGGCAGGGCCAGGCCACGCGCCCTGGCTCCCCACCCACCACCCTCCATGAACAGCGCCTCCTGAGCTGCCTCCTGAAGCTCATCTCCACAGAGGTCAACCCCAAGCTGGTGAGTGGCCTGGGCTCTGCCTGATAAGAATCCCAAGGAAAGTATGACTAGGCTTAAAGCAAAGGAAACCCCTAAGGCCAGGCATGGTGGTGATGGTGAACACATTTTAGCAGTATGAGATAAACCCTAAACTGGCCAGGTTGTAGGGATTTTGAGGTAAGTGAGCTGTGACTTTCTCAAGGGCACCTTTTCATGGAGACAGATGGCATGGCTGAAGTGCTCTAGGGGAGGCAGTGGAAGATCTGCAATACTGAGGAGTCCTGGCAGGGCATGTTGGCATAGTATTAGGGAGAATGGTGAGCAGGAAGCTCGACTGAGGTACCCAGAGTGGGTCGGTGCCAGCAGCCTCAGTGTCTATTAGAACTGGTTAGAAATGCAGGTTCTAGGGTACAGCCCACGGACTGTGTTGATGAGCCCCTGAGAAATCTGTGAGCTGCATATGGCTGGGACAGAGTTGCAGAGTACAGAGGTAAGGTGACACAAGGCAGGACCTTGGTGCTGGGTGCTGAGGACAGAGGGGAGGAGAAGAGCTGAGAATTGGGGCATTTGATGAAGTTTTCCCAGAGGTGGTAAGGGCACCAGGGCAAGAACAGAGATGGAGTTGCAGAGTGGGGCAGCTCTGCAGGGCCTGGGAACTCAACAGCAGTCTCTGCAGGGTTCTCTTGACACTTTCAAGGGTGAGTCTTGGACTTAGCAGAGTGCTCTTGGGCTCTGACTGTGTTTTTCTCTCTAGAGTAAATCTGTTTCTCCTCCCTCTGGACTCAACAGAAGAGGCTACTGCAATTGTCTTACACTGGGTTCTTACTGTAGTTTTTTTAAAAAGCAAGGTATTGTCAGTTTGTCATTTATAACCTCCTCCCTGCAGTTTGGGCCCTGCTCAGAGTGAATGAAACCCAGGCATGTTGGGCTCTGTTCCCTGCCTGTGTGTAGGGCTGCCCTACTGGTCATAATGGACTATGTCCAAGCAGTGGAGATATACAGGGGCTCTCCTGAGAAAGATAGAGGTTGCTTTCATTACTTACTGGCTGCTATACTTTTTTTGTTTCATCTGGTGAGTTTTAAAATTGGCAAATTGCTGAGCAACTTTGGGCAATGCCAGGGTCATGTGTTGTTGTCCCCTGATGTTTGCTATCATGGAAATCAGGCCATGCCAGCTTCTAAATTCTCAGGATCATCCTCACACCCCCTCCTCAGGGTGCTTGTGTCAAAGCTGGTTTTCTCGTGCTAATATCACCCCTTCTCTTCCCCAGGTACTGTAGAATGGACCAGCACTTCGTACTGAACTAGATCCCCCGATCTTTTTACTTTATTTTAATTTTGAGGCAGGGTCTCACCAAGTCAGTATTTGTCCAGGCTGAGTTGAACTTGTGATCCTCCTGCCTCAGCCTACCATAGTGCTGGGATTATAGGTGTGCACCACTATGCCTAGTAAATTTACACATTTTTTGACCCGTTTCTCTTCAGGCTCCAGAAGCAAATGCCTCAGTGAGGCCTGCCCAGGAAGAACAGTCAGCGACTCCCCCAGGGAAGGTGGTAACTATCAGCTCCCGGAGCCCTCGCTGTCCTCGAAACCAGTCTGCCCTTCGCAGTAGCAAAACCTTTCCACCTAGTTCCACATCTTGCTCGCCAGGTGAGGCTCGGAGAAGCCTAATGGCTTTGGGGGCTATGCAGAAGCTGGAGACTCAGGTGTGTCTGAGGCTGACCCTACCATCCAGTCATCCATGGTCCAGTGGTCTTAAGTAAAGGCCCAGAATCATTTCCTCATGGGGAAAGTGAGCTCAGGGGCTCATGATAATGGGCTTGGAGTATGGGGCATGGGAAGCAGTGAGAAGCAGAGGACGGGTAGCCTTAGTTGAGTTGGTCACTTTTTGTGAGGCTAGCAGAAATCTCCATATTGCCCTTTTAGTGGCTTATGGCGCCTGAAGAGGGCTGGTTCTTTTTGAATCGATGTCATCTGTGTTTTTTTGCATCTAAAACATGAGAATAAAGCAGCCTTCCATAAAGGCATATATCAACAGTTTAACACAGTCTTGGAAAGAAAAGTGGATTAACCTGCCAATCACAGTGTATCCTACCCTACTTACATCTAGAAAATTTTTTTGTGCATGTGGTGTTGGGGATTGAACTCAGGACATGGTGTAAGCTAGGCAGGCAATCTACCCCTGAGCCACCCCTAGCTCCTAAGAAATAGTTGAAATTCACAGTTCATAAATTTTGTCACTGGGGATATGAAACCCCAACATAAGCAAGCCCATTTTCTTGAGCATCAATTTTACTTTATTTAAACCTTTAGTATTTATATAATGAAAGAGATTATTGTGCTAAAGTAGTGATGCTACGTGCATGTTAAAGGTGGACGAGAAGTATGAATACTTTTTATGGCTCTGCCCATGTATCCCAGGCATGTGTACCCTCTCCTGCCACTGTGTAGCTCAGTGACTAAATGGATAAGTGTGGGCTGTTGTCTTGCTCTTGTGGCCTAGAAGAAGTCCTACAGCTCTCCCTTAGACTGATCCAGTGGGATAGGAGTGGCCTGGGAGGTAGGAGTAGCTCAGAAGTAAGACCTGGAACACTCTTACCCTATGCTGCTAAGGCCTCCTCACACTTTTGTGTAAAGGATGTTGTTCCCTGTGCTATGGGAGTGACCCTGCCCAGCATATATACATCCTTAGGAGACAGCCCCACCTCATCCTTAGGGAGTTCACACTCTAGGGTAGGCTAATCTCAAATATAGACAGGTATGGAAAAATATAGTAACTTTTTAACCAACAGACACAGTCCTGGTATGTTAACAGTTCTTCAAGATTGTTTTCCTTTCAGAGAATGTCATTGGCCTTATTATATCTCTGTCTTACTGTGTTGCAATGACTTGCCTTTTAAGGACTCTTGTTTCCTTGACTGTCCTTCCTGGTAGCCTTAGAGGAGGTCTAGACTACTGCTAAGTTAGGATCACATCCTCTGTAGTTGCTTGTTTTGTATTTCCCCTTTCCCTTTCTCCTGTTTTCTTTCTGGGGCTGCTGTAGAAGGCAGTAGTAAACCTGAGACACTGGTCCTTGCGGACGAAGGTGTATTCACTGATGAGGCCCAGCTGGTAGCTCCTCTGACCTCTCCTGTGTCGTCGTTCC